AAATAAGTTTAGAAGAAACCTATATAAGCAATAAAACCAGACCAAGAATGCTTGATTACAAACGATGAACTCATTTCATTTGCAAGTTATGCCATGACATAAATGCATTAAATTAGGAAGATTTGTATTAGATGAATATTAACTTCTGTTGATAAGAACATTTGGTAAGTACCTTTAAAATTTAAAACACCCTCAAAATGATTCTAACACTATCCTCTGACGCTTTTCGACTAGGATCAAATAAAAGTTAATTATTTAATTACAGATTGGTGGAATCCAGATTCTGTGAATGTACATGTAATTGATTGACAAGTACACATTTGACAAGGTAAATTAATTTTATTTAACAAAGTAGTGCAAATCTAGAAACAAAACAGACAGTAAGTAGGTATGGTAGATAAGACAGATCACTTGTTCATCTGCTGTACTCTTTATAATATTAGTGTAGAATGTAGATGATGTAGGAGATTACAGTCTTACGGTGACATGTGCATCTTTTTGCTCTTAATTTACAAATATTTCATATATTTTACAGGTGGTGAGAAACGTGTAGATCTGGCCTGCTTACAGTGGCTATTGGATTGGACAGAACCAAAGTGAGAGTGAACGTGTGAATTTATGGAGAACATTAAAAACTATTTTACTATAAGTCATAACGCAACTTATTTTGTATGAGTTACATACAAATGTCAAGCCGTGAGTAACATTATGTAAAAACTAAAACAATGTACCTACTGTAATCACAACAGTAACTGTAATCTTTTAAAATCCAATAGTTTTAATGCTTATTGATTTTCGTAAACAAAATGTTTCATGTTATATTTCATCAATAAAGTTTCATTTGATACTTCAATAGTTTTATTTTTAACCGCAATACATGAAAAGGAACGGATCATAAAAGAGTATGACAGGTATATTTAATCTGTGGGCGGCAGACGCCATATTGTATTCAGCGCCACCTACTGGTCAATCTAGCTCGGTACTAGTTTGTTTATCGTTTAACCAATACTAGGGCCGTTTCCTATCTGTCTTTAGACATACTCTATAATCTGTGCCCCAAATGACCCTCTCTCTCTTTCTCAGCGCGGGGAAACTTCGCAAAACAAACAGCACGTGGCATGAAATTTGTGGTATTTATTTAATATGAACTTCAACAGCCTTTACAAATACAACTAGAGTTTGTAGTAGCTTGAAAAACTTAACATTAGTACATGTTCCATGGAAGAAAGATAGGTAGAGGTAATATTAGAATAAACTCGTATGCAATTTGAGTTTTATGATTAACCAGCAAGCTTTTGCTGTATTTTCTTTATTTACCCAAGCATACTTAAATGTTAATTTGTTTAGTAAATTATAAAAATAATAACAATGTGAATTATAATCTAATGGAGATCCTAGCCGAAAATATATTTAAATATGTTGAATACAGTAATGTTGGACCTGTATTTCCTTCGTTTTTCTTTGTTTTTGTGTTATCTTTCTTTGATAGGTAGATCTAGGTATGTATTAAACCTAGGAAACCAGTTTTTATATTATTTTATTATTATGTGGGTGTATTAGGTAGATATGCCTATAAACCTAAAAACCTACCATAATAATAATTAAATACATACCTATTGTTTCATTTATTTAGGAAGCGGTAATAAAATGGGTATTTCGCCGAAACAGTAAATTTTCTGTGTCCAGGCAGGCGAACACATGTTTTTTTATATCTATCTGTATAAAACTATTTTTATGGGAAAGTTCATCAAAAGTTTTATTTGTTTTTGCTATTACAATAGCAGAAACTACAAATAATACCGTAGAAAAACTTAATCAAAAGTCGTTTTTCTAATTTCCTTGTTATGTCCATTACTGTTGTTTCCCAAAATGAAGGCTCATTATAACAAATTGAAGCGTAATTTAATTCTAATAGCACTCTCTTTACATTTGAGAAACGTTTGGCTATCGGAAAATAAAAACTTTAAATGTCAAATACTTATAGGAAGAAAATAAAGTGAAGTTAAGTTCTTGTCCAGGTCAAAACTATAATTTCCCTGGGTCTTCGTTTCGACCATTGTTGTAACGAAACGAAAAAACTTAGAATGTAACGCACTGCACCACTACACTCGGCCATTTCGTCCCAAGAGGCCATTGAGGCAGGACAGTACGTCGTTGATCAGTTTCGCGACAAATCGCATAAATAGGTCCCTCCTTGGGTTTTTGTTTACTAAAAAGTCAATTTCTTTGGACGGTTTTTTGCAACTAAACAATGGATTAATTTTATTGTTTATTTACACAAATGTAGTGTCTGTAGGGGTAAACCCATGATTTAAATAGTAAATGCATAGGGTAAATAGGTTTTTGTCTGTGGTGTCTTTTAGGCATAAATCTAATTTCTTTGGTCCTAATTTCCTTGTTTTCCGTGGCATAAAATGACCTAGGAAATTATAAAAGACCATTAATAATTCGGCGTAAAGTCAAATTTTGAGTATTTCTTTATTGGAATAANAGCGCGCTCTACACTCGCGGCGCGAAAGGCCGCGAAAGCCGCGAAACGCGTGTGTAGATGGTTTCGCGGACTTTCGCGCGTTCGCGTTCACGCTTCGCGCCGTTCCCCGTTCGTTGTCGGTTTTTTGTCCCGCGACAAAGGTTCGCGCTTGGTTCACGGCGCGCGATCGCGAACGCAACTACACTCGCAGTTTTTCGCAATAGCTGAGAAGACGCCGTCGCAAGTGGTTGTGCATTATTGCGTATAGTTCCAAAATACTGAACTGTCCTATGCATGACATTGACAGTGGGGCGCCACCGTCAATACCGGATCGCTGGTTCCGATTTTTGCCATGTTGGAAACCATATAGTTGAACGATGGTAGCGCCCCCCTGTCATTGAGTTTGGTGGGACAGTTCAGCTTGGGTCATCTATACTTACTAACGTTCTTTTTTTTTTTAAATGAGTAGGTACTAGGCATGGAATAATGAACTTGAGTTGAAATTTATCGAGTGTTTTCAATCCGAACCAATACTTTGACAGTCCAAACACAAGGACCATAAAAATAAAAATAAGACCCACTATGCCTGGACGCGGATAAGTGACATTTTGAATATTCCTGTGGGTGAATTGAAAAAAAAAAGGACTCACTTATGTCCATTAGTTATAGAACCTATAGAAAGAAACTTAAGGATTCCACTCATAGTGGGGCAAGCTCAAGTGAAATATATAAACCCATTAAACATTTTTTATTTGAGTCTTATTTTTAATACATAGGTAATTGTAATACGATATAGCACAGAGCGTCACCGCAGCAACAATCACGTCGTCATCCATTGAGGCCGCGAACGAGACTGCGAGGTTTCGCGAGTGTGGAGAGACACATATAAATTTTAAGAAATAGGTATCAGAATAGATATAGAAAAACTTGTTTTTAACTTTTAACTCAATCTACTGCATTTATCTTCCTTAGTTGTGTAAAAGGTCGTAATGATATTAATATTCATTGGTATGTTTGCTTGCGAACGTACACAAAAATAGTTCGAACAAAAAAAAAGCAAACCACAGAAGAAAACTTAGAGAAAAAAATATTTATAATAATTTCCTTGGCTACCAAAAATTTATGACCTCATAACTTTGTTTCTAAAACGAATTATGACACCCCTTCTAGATATATTAGCTTAGTTTTTACTACTTAATGCAATGGGAAACTAAAAATAGTTAAAAACAAAAATAAAATTCGTTCCATGGAAATTAGGCAAAATTGACCATTTTTGGCGAAATACCCAAATCTTATTATACAGGGTGGAAACCATAAGTGATCTCACTCGATTATTTCTAAACTATACAAGATATTGAGAATCTGACTGATTATACTGATCGTGAAAGTGCTTTACGAGCTCTTTCAAACGATATCAATAATTACAGAATAAACTGGATCTATCCGAAAATTCAACGTTTCCAGCTTCCTTTTTATTTAAGTATTTTTTAATCTTTTGCATACAAAAGTGATTTATGGTAGCGGACTTAATGCCGGGTGGCATTATCTACCAGTCAACCACAGATCAAGCTTAATAACTTATCAATACATAAACATAATAATATTAAAAGCGTACTTACACATCACATAGAAAAAGTCTTATTATTCCTTAAAATGGTTGATTGATCAAGTCTTGTAATTATGTACTTATTTAATAATATCCCACCGAAGTTCACCGAACACACCGTGTGGTAAGGCTAAAAGAATAGGTATTTATAGAATACTGCTGAATTTTGATTAGATAGCAGCCCCCATGACAAAACGTGACAATAATTGTAGTGTCGAAAGATCTTTTTTTGTATGGAGTTACAAACTTACAACGGATTCTATTTTTGATTCTATCAAAAAGTACCACTAGTTATTTGTAAGAAAAATATTGTGCATTTTACTTTTCCAGAAATGTTATGTCATTGTAAAACAATTTACCTCAATTACAGGGAAACCATAAATTTATGCATATGGCAGTCCGAATAACCAGAGACAATATTTTTTTTTTTACTTTAACCGAATACGAAGAAAATACAAAACAACCGTGAATTACTGACAGTTCAAGGAGGGCGCTCTGGTCGGTTTATTCCTGTGGTTTAATCTCAATAACATTTCACACAACGTAACAAATAAGAAGACAAAGGCTAGTGCTAATAGGTCTAATGGAATAGTTGAAAGAATTATTGAAAACTTGTTTAATTAAAATACCTCTTTTTCCTTCTTGGTAGATATTATATCCAATATTGTAGGTACCATCAGTACCATCGGCAACAGTGTGTCATGTCGTCTCGTTCTATCGCAAAGAATCACCATTTGATGAGAGTGAGAGCAAAAACGGACATGGATAGTTAACAGTGTTACCGTGTGTACCTACTGTAATTCCTTCTTTAAACTTATTTAATTAAATAAATGTAAAGAAAAAAACTGTTACAATTCATTTAATACTTTACTTATTTTCTTAACAGAACCAAGCAAGTGTCAGAGTTTGACCTATTAATGGAAGAAGTAATTTTGCAGGCATTATACAAATGATTATTCGATTTCATAATGTGATATCTCATAATTAATTCTGAATACTTAAAAGCATTAGTCCTGTCTTTTCTTTTTCCTATGTATTCTGCATGAATATTTTTACATAAATCATTTGCAAACTTATGCAATGAGGATGTTAAGCGAACTTTTAGCTGAGTATTTTCGTAATGTAGGCTCGCATTGTGACGAAGGATCTTAAAATACTTTTTACTATCTGGTGGTACATTACCATATTCAACTAATTTTCTTAATAGTTCATCGAGAGATTTTTTATTTTCTTCCAAAAGTAATATTATATTTTCACATGTCTGTAAGAAAGTACCAATTCAATTATTAGCTAGTCCGATATTATGGTCTCAACACTCTCAACAGTAATGATGAATAATGATTTTATTTTATCAATAAGTACCTACTTTCTGACTTTCACTTTGCAGTGTTTTAATGTTTCTTAGCAAGGCCTTCTTGCTCTCTTTAATTTTTAAGTATTTAGTACAAATGTTACAAATAATTTCATCCTTTGATCTCATTTCCTCTCTTATTATGCTGTCAATTGTATCTCCTTGCTGAAAATAACAGTAAATATAAAATATCGTATTTAAGCATTAACCATCTATAGGTACAGCCCCCCTAGACAAAACGCACTTTTTGATCGAATCCGTCAAAACTCCATACAAAAAAGGGGCTTTTCGACCACTTTTCGACTGGTTTGCGATTATAATTTGCACTTTGTCTAGACCCACAGGTAGATTATTTTATCAGCTCTATGACTTACATTGTAATAGTTGTAATTACTCTCCGATTCGTTTTTGTTTGCGATTCTTTTAATTTCATCAATTAAAAATTCCTTTTCTTTCGTGTGCATGTCTCTGAAAAGATACAATAAAATAATTACATAACTGTATCTTAATGATAAAAAAATACCTATTCTTTGCTAGTTTGTTTTTGTTTATATCGACCTTTCGTCTTCTAATTGCTGGTGTAAATTTCTGGTAGTTCTTTGAGCTGTCTTAAGTTCAACGTACAATTTTTCTTTTTCACGCGCTAGGGTTCCAATAGCGGCATCTCTTCTTTCTACAGTTTGTTTTAAAGATTCGATTGTTTGCTTAAGTTTTTCTACTTCAGATTGTAATTTAGTTACTTCTTCAGAAGGCGTTATAGATTTATTTGAAGAAGATGATGAAAGAAGAGAACTTTTGGACAATATTCGTATATAATTCATTCAGTAGAAGGTATGAAAACTCATAAAAAACTGGTAAATTTTGGCAGAATTTGGATGAAATATCATGTCAAATTATTTATAACGTCAAGTGACTTTTTTATGCTACTTGATTGAGACATTAAGCGATTTTAGAACAAAAATCTTATAAAATAAATTAATAGATTTGATCTAATATTCAATAAGATGTGAAAAGTTGCTCAGCCAAAGCTTTTTCTTTTAAGGCTTAGATTAATAAAGCAATCAACCAAATCACCAAATTCCTCTATAAGATCAAAGGGTTAAATCGTGGTTGAATAGTGTTAAATCCTTGGCCTTGTTTGTTCAATTTTCAAGTCTGATTTAATCTGTGGTGTTTAGCCATAGACAAGAGATGTGGTAGAATGTGATGATTGGTTTAAAGCTGGATTTTCTTTCTTTCTCTAGTCATTCATTGGATTTTTGATTATTTTGATTGGCCAATATTTATGATTGCAACTTGATTCCTTTACTGTCCAATAGGATTTTTGGAATTTGACATTAGCCAACTCGATTTGTGAGCGGTGACATAAAATTGACACAAAATTTGTCAAAATACCGTATAAACATAATTGCCTTTTCTCCATTGTTTCTTTTATGTTTTCTCCCGAGTTCCCCGAGTTTATTTTATCCATTAATCCGAAATACTTATCAAGATTAAATTACAGTCACCGTCTCACGTCATCTCTCGTGTTCCCTTGCTGCAGTAAGTGCATCGAATCGCACGAGTAGTTAAGTTCTTGACCTTAGTGACTGATGTCGTGATGTTTTATGTTGTGTAACGACGCCAAAAACTAGAAGACGGACGCTGCCAAGTTTCTGAGTAATGTGCAATCATCAACGTCCACACGATATGTTCAGGAATTCAGACATCCCGATAACTCGTAGCTCAGTTAGATGTCAGATTTCAACGTATTCTAATAGAGTGAAATTGGTTTCCTTTCGTTTTGCTAGGAAGCTATTTGCGCGTCGTCAACGCGTATCGCTCGTTCTGTACGCATATTTCACGTGATTTTACTTTTAGGTCACAAGACGCACTCTCTCTGACCGCCGAACAGCGAACGGCGCACACCTGTGCAAACAGCGGCCGAGTGAGACGGAACCTCGTACGATGCGAACCTCATAGTGGCGGGCGGCAGCGAGCGAGTTCGTTCCTGATGTTATAATTGATGGTACAATGAGTGAGGAGGCGCAGAATGCGAGCCCGACTCCCGCGCCCGAGGCCGCGCCCGCGGCGCACGCCGACGCCTCCACCAACGTGTCACAGGCACAGGTCGCTCAGGTGTGCTCCGTGTTTACTCACACCATCCATTTTGTCTAAACGTATTGCAAATATTCATCGTATCAGATTCATTTTCAATGTGTGCTATATTCGGCTTAGCGTCTAAGTCTGCTAAAACTGTGCTAAATACTATGCCGCTACTAGGTTTATGCTTTAAGCCGATGATATGAATTTGGCACTAAAAGTAAAGGTGAATCACTAGTAATACCGGTTTCAATATTTTTATTGTTCTGTTGTTGCTTTTGTTAGTATCTTACTATGAGTCAAAGAGGTCTGTAGGTATAATAAAAACAAATATAGAAATTAAGGTTCAAAGTATAACATTAAAGAATCTGCAAATAATGTTATTTTCAGTTTCAACTCTATTTGTTGCAGTACCTACTTGACTTTGGGGTTGATTACAAACTTTTCTTATAAGAAAGTTTGATTTACTCAAATGACATCCATCCACTGCTGGACTAAGTATATGACTTTAGCTTGTTTTGTGAGCCTTGCCTTCAATGATCTTATAAGAATACAATCAGAAAAAATGATCTGGTATTTTACAATAAAAACAATTATGTCTCCCCACTGTTATCTGGATTTATAAAACTAAACAGGTGATCCAAAACAATGAACCAAACATTAAAGGTCAAGTAATAAACCATCACAGGGTTATTTGGTAATTTTGGTACACATGTACATCTTGAGATGTTAAACTAAAACATTGTCGTAAACTTTGTAAGCAGTGGCATAGCTAGGTAACCAAGGGCCCTGGGGCAAATAAAAAAATGGGGTCCCACTGCAATCTAAACTGGTTAGGTTTTATCAAGTTTATTGACATTAAACTTACTTACTCCTGATACAGCTTTCGAATTTCTCTCTATTTATATAGAAAATGGGAGAATTTTTCAAAGTTCAGTTCAATGAGGGCTATCGTTTTAGCGCTCACCAGTTAGCGCCACTGTAGAGTAAGGTCCTGTCACTTGCTAGAAGCGAAGACAGTGGCACCATCTGGTGAGCGCTAAAGTGGTAGGAGGACTGTCTTATTTGCACTCATCAAGATGGCGCCACTGTAGAGTAAGGTCCTGTCAATCGCCAGGGGTGCCAACTGTTAAGTATAAAAACGATAGCCCTCATTGAGATTTTCTGGTAAGGATTCGGGGGCCCCTTGAGCTTGGGGGCCCCAGGGCACTGCCCCGCCTTGCCCCTTAGTAGCTACGCCCCTGTTTGTAAGTCGCGTTTGGTGCAGTACTTTGCTTGTTGTTGCAGATGACAGCAAGCTCTGCGCCGCCCGGCGAGAATGGCAAGTGGAGCTGCGAGGTGTGCACGTACGAAAACTTCCCGCTCTCGCGAAAGGTACACCAATCAAAAAAGACAGCCTGACAGCATGTATAGTCTGGTCTGCGAGCACGTAGAATTTTGTCCAATGACCCCAGGCTAGCCATCCTTATCGCTCGCGCGTTTATTATGTTGCTGTCGCGCTCGATTCTACGTGCTCACAGATCGGGCTTTAAATCAAATAAGTGTTTCAAGATAAAAAATAATGATAGGACATTTAATTAAATATGAAAGAGGTTCACTTCACAACTCAAAACTGATTAGGTATATGTTTATGATTTCGTTTTGAGTTGTCAATTCATCATTTCAATTTCTGCCCGGCTGGGAATCGAACCCGGGACCTCTCGGCATACTATCCTCTCAAACTTTCAGCCAATTCATAAAGTTCCATCATCCATGAGCGAGGAATAGAAGCCACAAATAAAGCGCGCTCTACACTCGCGGCGCGAAAGGCCGCGAAAGCCGCGAAACGCGTGTGTAGATGGTTTCGCGGACTTTCGCGAGTTCACGTTCACGCTTCGCGCCGTTCCCCGTCGGTTTTTTGTCCCGCGACAAAGGTTCGCGCTTGGTTCACGGCGCGCGATCGCGAACGCAACTACACTCGCAGTTTTTCGCAATAGCTGAGAAGACGCCGTCGCAAGTGGTTGTGCATTATTGCGTACTTACTAACGTTCTTTTTTTTTTTAAATGAGTAGGTACTAGGCATGGAATAATGAACTTGAGTTGAAATTTATCGAGTGTTTTCAATCCGAACCAATACTTTGACAGTCCAAACACAAGGACCATAAAAATAAAAATAAGACCCACTATGCCTGGACGCGGATAAGTGACATTTTGAATATTCCTGTGGGTGAATTGAAAAAAAAAAGGACTCACTTATGTCCAGTTATAGAACCTATAGAAAGAAAGTTAAGGATTCCACTCATAGTGGGGCAAGCTCAAGTGAAATATATAAACCCATTAAACATTTTTTATTTGAGTCTTATTTTTAATACATAGGTAATTGTAATACGATATAGCACAGAGCGTCACCGCAGCAACAATCACGTCGTCATCCATTGAGGCCGCGAACGGGACTGCGAAGTTTCGCGAGTGTGGAGAGACACATTTAAACGCGAAGTGCACGGCGCGAATCGCGGCGTGAATTCACAGCAAGAATCGCGCGCGAGTGTAGAGCGCGCTTAAGGCGATTAGAGTCCTCAATGACCTTGAGCGTTTGACCTTCACGCTTCGCACAACACCCGCGCACCCCGCACGAAAACTCCGATTTGACACCGATCAAAATTACACGGGCATAGGTAGGTACAGAATAGAAGCTCTTTCTTCATACATTACTGCCTATTATTTTAAACTTGAATTGATGAACCTTGATGTCGATGTCATTCAACACAGGCGCAAGTGATGGCCCGAAATGATCTAAACTAGCGCACCGTATAGTAAGGTATTTATATTTAACAAAAATTACAAATCCATGAACATTTTGTATGGTATAATATTTTTTATTTTATTTTATTTAGCTTACAATGTATGTTGTGTGTAAACTATGAATTAGTTAGACCCATTTCCTGACGACAACCGATTGAGTTAAAATTTCGGATACACATGCAATTCGGATGACAATGCAATATTATGATGACATGGAGCTGATCTGATGATAGAGCTGGAAAGTCAGTGACCCCATAGGAACTCCGGAATAAAACGACTCCATCGAGTTGAGACTCGTTTGATTTGTATTTATTTATTTACATTAGGGTACTAACTATGTAAAGTTACGGTAAAATACTAAGTAAAATTATTCGTCCGTCTGTCTGTCAAGACCCTTTTTTTCATATGTATAGATAACAGCACTTAACATAAAAAATATGGTCTCAATTTCGACTTTCAGTAGCAACAACAGGGTCAACAACAACAAAAGCATGAAATAAATTAATGTTCACTAAAAATTAAAACCAACTCCAAAACATATTACCAAACCGTAGGCTGCCAGTGCTGCCACCGAAATATAAATCATGGTATAAATTTGACCTAGTAAATAAATAACGGAATATATTTTCTACTTTTACTTATCTAGTGCAGTTTGTTTTGGAGTCGATTTTTTTACACTAATAGATTCTATTTAGGTAGATAATAGCGTCCAAGCATGCCTTAATTCAATCGTANGTTTCAGCCAAATGACGTCCACTGCTGGACAAAGGCCTCCTCCAAGGCTTTCCACAATGCACGGTCCTGCGCTGCCCGCATCCAGGCTCTTCCCGCGACCTTTACGAGATCGTCGGTCCACCTAGTAGGAGGCCTGCCCACGCTACGTCTTCCAGCCCGTGGTCGCCACTCGAGAACTTTTCTGCCCCAACGGCCATCGTCTCTACGAGCTATGTGCCCCGCCCACTGCCACTTGGTTTTAGCAATTCTGCGAGCTATGTCGGTCACTTTGGTTCTCCTGCGGATCTCCTCATTTCTGATTCGATCACGCAGGGAAACTCCAAGCATGGCCCGCTCCATCGCCCTTTGGGTGACCTTGAGCCTTCTTATGAGGCCCATAGTAAGCGTCCACGTTTCGGATCCATAAATCAACACTGGCAGCACACACTGCTCGAAGACTTTTGTCTTGAGACACTGCGGTATTTCGGACGTGAGTATATTGCGTAGCTTCCCGAACGCTGCCCAGCCGAGTTGGATTCGACGATTGACCTCTTTCTCGAAGTTGAATTGATATCTTAAATTTAACTAATGTAGTGTTTTAAGTAACTATCAAATCTAAACGCCTCGTATGCTTAAGCACTGATTAGGACGAGACACAATGACTTTCGCATTCGCTGGAATTCCGGCATACAACCGGTTAAAGGAAAACCCTTTCCCTCGTCATGTCATGACGGGCCATGCCATACGGGGTGTCATGTGGTGTACTTCTATTATATTTCTAGATGAGGTGTAACTCACCAGAACAGTCCTGGTGCGCTCCTGGTAGCCGACGCCGCAGCTCACGCTGCACGCGCTCCAGTCGCTCCACTCGCTCACCTGGCAGTCGCTGGCCTGCACCAGTGACGGGCCTGAGTGAAGAACATTCGTCAACAACATATGCATATAGCCCATTTTGAAACTGTGACTGTGCAAATGCACTATCTCAGAGTTAACTGGAAGAATACCTTGCGATAAAATGGCATTGACTTCGTTATGATATAAAAGGTATAGAGAAATATTTAATGTCGTCCCAGCGCAACCTGATAAGTGTTGACCAGTGTTACCGTCTGCAAAGTGCCAATTTCTTGGAATAAACTTTATCGCCCGATAATGTGGCGCAAGTTAAAACAGGTCTTAAGTATTGCGATAGCATAAAACCAGAGGTCTATCGCGCGGGTTCTGTATTGCGAATAGTTACCGTTGATGGTGTTCTGCGCGGGCGCGCTGCCGGGTTGGCCGGACGCCGCCGCCGCTAGGGCCGGGCTGCCGCCTCCTGAACAAACAAACACAACTTGTGACATTCCTGTATAATAGACCAATAGAAGAAAGTAGTGCTGAAATTATCGTCATAAAAATTATATAAAATGTGTCCCATTTTCTTTCATACATACATCCTTACAATCATGAAAATGAGAAAATAGGGCTTGTGAGACGAGTTGGCATTCATTTATTTATACCTATGGCATATAACGTTCAATGTCGTAAATTCAGTTTATTATAGCCTGACCAGGAACATAAAAACCCTCGCCATGTTGCGGAAAATTAATGGTACTAATTTCTTTTAATGGCAACAGTAACTGAAAACTTCATTGACATGTCACCTTGCATGTCAGTCTATTGCTGTCAAAGTGTAAACAAACTTTATTTTAAATGTGCGCAATTGATTTTGTGAATTAAANACAAAATGACCATTTCACGCGGATTGAGGACACTAATCGCCTTAAGGGTGAATCTTTGACTTTACCCATATTCACAAACGATGCTTGCTTAAGTGAAGCAGCCAATCGAACGCACAGCGTTGAATAGAGCTCTGTGATTGGCTGGTGTGTCGCCCTGTGCGTACACGCGCACTGTGAGACCTCATAGTAATGTTTGCGAAAGGGTGTATGATTCTACACTGCATCTTAATGCACACCAGGCTTTAGAATGAAGTTTTTGCGCCATTGTTGTCTGAGTCATGCAGCTGAAATTAGGAAGCTGATATGGAGACAATAGACTACTTTAGCTTTTTCTTGTTCTGTGAAAATATTGTTGCTGCTTAAAACAATGCTGCTAGTGTAAAGTTAACATTGTGGCGTGAATGAATACCTTGTGATTATAGTTGGCAAGTTCATTTCAGTTTGCTCACCACAATCAAGTTTTACAAAGTAGAAGGATGATTGACCTTAAAGATAGTAGTCTATACTATCTATACTTCTATACTAATATTANAGTGATTAAATAAAATGAAAATGCTTAAGAATTCCATTAAGTAAGATGCAGATAGTAATCAGGTTCAGATCATACACATATAAAAGATATTTTTTTAAATGTTTAATTGCTTAGCACACATCAATATTTATGACTATGTATATTTTAAAGACTGTAAACCCTTGTAAAGCTAAAGGAGGCTGACAATAGTGAATGAGTTTTTTGCGCTGCTTCTTCTCAGCACTGGCCCATTTATTGTCCCAAAGCAGTTGTAGGTTTAAAAGCCTATTTGCAAAAATAAATGAGTTTTATGAGTTTTTTAGAGTTTTTACATATTGAAATGTAGTAGTAGTGTTTTGTTTTAGTTAGCATGTTTTTAGTTATTTGTAAAAAGTGTTCATATGTGGACGTGCCAGTGTGCTCCGCAGTGCACCATGTGCCGCGCGCCCAAGACCTGCCTCAACGAGAACATCTTCAAGCTGCAGGACGATGCCAGCGCGCTGCCCACGCAGGACGTCTGCGGTGAGTCTCTCTATACATAATAATAATAAATAAATAATAATAAATCTTTGGACAATTTCACACAGCGCCAGCTAGCCCCAAAGTAGGCAACTTAATGCTTGTGTTATGGGTGCTAGCTTAACGGATATACTACTTATATACTTTTTTTTTTAAATACATACATATTATCATCACAGAAATTAAAATTCATCATTTAAATTTCTGCCCGGCCGGGAATCGAACCCGGGACCTCTCGGCATAGTAGTCCGCTCTGAACCACTACACCAAACGGCCGACACAAATACAATACGTCACGGCCGAATACATTGATTTACCACAGTCCACTGCTGGACATCTTGCATTGCCTTTCTTGTTGCAATTCACGAAGGCGAGTGAGCTTTAATTGTGTGGTGGCTCGCTTCTGTTCGTTTTTCATACGTTTTGATAAAGCCTGGTCCGTGAGCACGTAGAATCCCGTCCAATGACCCCAAGCTACCCATCCTTATCGCTCGCACGTAATTATGTTGCTGTCGCGCTCGCACACTCACTGCGGGCGCGCGTCGCACAGTCGCGACAGCAATATAATTAAGCGCGAGCGATAAGGATGGGTAGCTTGGGGTCATTGGACGGGATTCTACGTGCTCACGGACCAGGCTTTAAGACAATATCATTACACTATCGTAATGTGCATGTACACGTACACACACAAGTAAAGCTCACACGCCTTCGTGAGTCACAAGAACTCTTCACTTCAGTCCACTGCTGGACTATTGCCTTGCCTTTCTAATTACCTGCTATTGAGGCAGAACCTCCTTGCGTATAGCGCTGCTTTATTTTACGGGAGGGATAAGCGTCTCACGCTTTCCAATTAGAATTCCAATTAGAATCTGTCGCCACGACCCCTGGCAAAGATGGTCAATTCTTCACTAGGTTATTTAATTTGTTCGAATTGAATAAGTTGATATATTAAAGTTCACTTCACCTGCTTATTGCAACTTGACCTGAAAAGTATTTAAAAATATCATATCCCCGTTTTCTCTAACGCTCATGTACAGTCAACAGCACATCAAGCTATACATTTTCGTTGCAAAGTCGCCCCATCGCAACTACGTAAGATACCACAGTGTTTACGTTGATGTGCTGTTGACCATACTATTTCTGGTTAGGAATTATACAGGGTGACCTCCTCTACATGGGAATTTGCTATGGCGGGTCTAATTCCGGTCACCCGTATAATTAGACTCAGCCTCTAGGACTTTCAAGCTCGGATTTTTAATACCCCAGTCTAAATCGTAGAATTAACTGCTACGAGTGAAGTCCGGTCGCCGAGCTCGTCCAATGACCCCAAGCTACCCATCCTTATCGCTCGCGTGTATTTATTGCTGTCGCGCTCGCACATTCACTGCGGCCGCCCGTCGCAAAGTCGCGACAGCAATATAATTTAAAAAAAAGTTTGACCATCAGCCAGTTTGACAGAAGAACAGGCCATTAAAGTTCATACTTGGGTTACATGTTTGGGTTACTGTGAAAAACTTCGCATCTGATTTATGTACTTTTCCTAAATTAAGTTAAGTTAAATTGTTTTTAATTACTTAAATGTTATTCTGAGCTTTGTTACGTCTTGTTTGAATAGTGCATTGGTACTACCGTTCTATTCATGAATAAATAAATAAAAATAAATACGTGTCGTGTCCCACAGGTGCGGAGGCGGTGGCGGAGCGCCTGAAGCCGCTGCGGATATCGTCGCCGCAGGGCCCGGCCGCCGCCTGCTCCGTCGTCAAGTGGCCCTGTCCGGTGAGTGCCCGACACAATACTTACTAAAAGCTGTTTTGGTAGGTGTACAGTTAGTTGAATGCTTCCAACTCGTTGTACAGACGCCTGCAAAAACTGCACATCATAAAATGAATTGCAACAAAATTGTATAGTCTTGATGTGCTGTCGACTGTACAATGTCCATGAAAGGTAAAGAGGTTGTTCTTCCTTTTCTATCCCTGCTCCTAGCCTAGATTTATGCTGCCATTGATAATGGTACTTACTAAATTTCGATAAACTAAATTATTAGTCTTGTAGTGACGTCACTTAATTTCGATAAACTAAATTATTAGTCTTGTAGTGACGTCACTTTGTGTGCACTTTCGATTGTGTATTTTTTTTAATAATGGACAAAACTTGACGACGTTGTCGGTGATTCCGCATCAATTCGATAAACAAAAAACTAAGTTGTCATGTAGGATTAATAATTGATTTGATCGTTAAACAGTGAACTGTTTTGTGTTGGCAGACGTGCACGTACGAGAACTGGCCGAAGGCGCTGAAGTGCGCCATGTGCGGCGCCGCCGGCCCGCCCGCGCCCGCGCCCGCGCCCGCCGCCGCCCCAGCGCCGCCCAACAACAAGCACATAGGTCAGTACAGTCCTCTCAACTTAAGCTGAGAATTGCATTTGTGTGAGTGCACACCGATAGTTTAGAGTGGCAATCGGCTTGAAGCGCGGCGCGTCCCGCGCATGGTTTATTATAGCAAGCGGCCTGAAGCGCGGCGCGTCCGTCACGCACCGCTTCCTTGTCGCTCACATACTTCACTTCACCCCCGGTACTGGTAGCAGATACGTGTAATTTTATGTAATTGTGTTCCAAATATTAGTGAAATGGCTCCTACTGTAAGTGAATTTCCTGTACGAAATCCATTAAGCAGCCAAGTAAAAGAAATGTTATGCAAATTGAATACGTATTTTAAATGTGTGAACGAAAAGTTTTTAGTCTGTTTTTATTTTGTAATTTTATAAATTTTGTCTTTTTGTTGTATTTTGTAAGGCTGGCTGGACGCCCTCTCTATAAACGGTGCTCGCAGAATATCAGCGTCGAGGTACTTCGTGCCTTGGCATATGCTGAGCGAGGACCTGTTTTTATTTATTTATTTATTTAAAAGGATGTGTCAAGTGTCGTTACATCGGCCCAATTGGTAGCAAGTGTTTTATAGACTTCCTTTTAATAAAACATTAATTTTATTTGTATGTGTTTTACTAACGGTACTTTTGGCGATCACTCACACAAATGCAATTCTCAGCTTAAGTTGATAGGACTGTACCTACCTTCACAAGTTCACACTCACCTCGGCTTCCTTGCGAAACTTAGAGGGAGAACTCGTGTAAATATTTATGGTGGTTGTAGTAACGGTATCGTGAAGATGAATAAAAGATGTTGTCTCGATGATAGTCTTGTAATAATTAGATTGAACAAGTGCATTACAAAATATTATATTCTAATTTAAACTACGTCACACGCTGAGGTCGCGTATGTCATCGACCCAGATACACTCATGCGGTGTACTGGTTACACTAAACTATGATATAATAATATTCTTATAATTACTTACACACATGCAAATAAATTATTTGATTTGAAAACCCTAAAATGGCTGTAATTCCAGCTTGGACTCGCTGTTACTTATTTACTTGCACAGTTGGGACTCGATACTCAACGATGACAGAGGACGCGGGTGCGTAACTGAGACTGGACTGGGTACATAAAATGAAAGAGCATACTGTAGTCTTGCTGCCGTTTGACATCACAAAACACCCATCCGTGCTGCTCCCATACTTTATTTCTTTGGCTTTCGGGTGGAGTTTTTGACTGTTTAGTCAAAAGCTTTACCTCATCCCACAATATCTACGATTTTATTCCTATCGATCCAGGAAGGCTACTTCGAAACGTTGTTTACGTAGTTTCGAGTCTATCTACGAGTATCATCGTTGCTAATGCGGTAATCTCGCTTTGTGTAAGAGAGATGGCAACATTCGAAACTTTGGATGACGTTCTTCGGAGTAACCAACAGTTCCCTTTTTGACTGGGGACTACACCAGTATTTAGTCAAAAGCTTCACCCCCTCCCACAATATATCACATATCATCGGCCACCTGATCATGATGATGGTGATGATGAGTGATGTTTGTTGTGCAGGCATCAACGACATCTGCAACAGCCAGGCGGCGCCCGAGGCCGAGGGCCGCCGCTCCAAGCGCCGCAACAACAATATCGACTGGATCTGGCTGCAGGCCTGCCTTGGTGAGTCGCACATTACACACCTTATATTGTTTCCTGGAAGCTATGTACAAGTATAATTATAAAAAGAGTTATGTCTCTCACTGATATTGGTTGAGCTGTTATAGGCGTAATGTGGTTTGCGTAAAAAATGCCGGAAGATTATATTAGTCTAGGCCTATATCTCTATGAAAGGATTCGTAAAAAATATCAACTGGTTTTTCGGCACAAATCCAGAAAATAGTAGAAAGCAGTGTAATAAAGTTGGAAAGAATCAAACATTTTAACATTTACGAAACGTTCCTATTTACTATATGGGGTGACAGTACCACGGGAGGTACAAAAGTGGTAAGACAACATCTGCCGAATTAATTGATAAATTGCTACGATTTAAGTTTTAATGTAGTCTGACGAAAACCTACAATTCTCAATTTTCTGGCCATTTCTGGTAAATTGAAGAATAAAGGATAATAAAGGGGTTTCCTTCCTCGTTTACGTTCGCAGCCTACGAAAAATTAAGGAAAATAAGGAGTACAGGAGCTACAGAATAATAACGAGTGTGACCGTGAACACATTTGAAAGATTCCCGCGAAAATGTTGTACCTAGGATTAGCGCGGATGACCTAGTGCGTCTGGAATGGGCCAGATGGCGGCACGGTCTAGCTGGGATGGGGACGACCTAGACTTTATTGATTATTCGTCCCTGATTTAAGAGCTCACTCAGCCGTAGCCTCATAGTTCGTGCAGATTTTACGCAAATGGTGTCGTGCAACGTGAGCGATTGCAAATCAAGAATAGTTATTTTATGGATTTTTGATTCAAAATTGGAGCTTATAATGCGGCGTCGCAAGTTTTGCAAATATAAAACACGTGTAAGAGTCCCGTGAAAAACTAGCTGCCTATATTAAAATTTTGGTTGCGTCAAGAAAAGCGAGAAAGGCGAGAATGAATAGGCACTTACAGGGCAGATAATACAGGGTGGAAACGATAAGTGATCTCACTCGATTATTTCTAAACTATACAAGATATCAAAAAACTAGTTACTGATCCTGAAAGTGCTTCATTACCTCTATCAAATGGTATTAATAATAGATTTCAGAATAAACTGGATCTATCAGAAAATTCAATGTTTCCAGCTTCCATACATTTGGTAAAGTCACATTATTTTAAAAGCTACACATGATATCGTAAAACTAATTACTGATTCTAAAAGTGCTTCACAAGCTCTACCCAATGGTATCAATATTAGGTTACAGAATAAACGGGATCTATCAAAAAATTCAATGTTTCCGTCTTCCATACATTTAGTACTACCATAGTCATGACACTCATCTCTTGACAATATTATAGCAAGTAAAGCCTAAAACTAATGTTTTACATGAATAATTTTAAAGAAGAATACAATTTACGAGTTTATTTTAAGAGTTTATTATTCAATAAAAAAAAACACTTCTGATATTATGTGTCTGGCATACATTTAGTATGGAAGCTGGAAACATTGAATTTTCAGATAGATCCAGTTTATTCTGTAACCTATTATTGGTACTGTTTGAAAGAGCTCATGAAGCACTTTTAGGATCAGTAACCAGTTTTTCAATATCTTGTATAGTTTAGAAATAATCGTGTGAGATCACTTAACGTTTCCACCCTGTATGTTCAATCCTAGACTGCATCCCACTTGACATCAGGTGCGATTGTGGTCAAATACCTGCCTTGTTTTGCATAAAAAAAAGAAAATTGAATTCTTTTTAAATTATCGTGTTTAAACTAATTTCTCGGATGTGAATGATGCCTGAGAAAAAAAATGGCAGTTGCCGATTAGGATGTGACTTTTTCAAGGACAATGACGAAAAAATAACTGAGTGGGGCACGCATGCGCGTCACGCACGTATAGCGAAAATCGATCAATGACTCAGGCTCATCTTGTAGGACTTATAGAATGGCTACTTGTGCCATGTTGGGGGACCGTATGAATGAGACACGGGTTGTAGTTAGTCTCTGATATTAATCTGTTTATTAATGTGAACTGCGTGACTATTTATACGATATAGATCAAAGGTAAATGACGTCACAGCATCAGCACTATACGTGATAAATGTGCTGACACTGTGAACGTGATTAAGATAAGATATGAAGAGATTGAGTATTGTGCATACCGGCACAGTACTCCCCCCCTTTAAATAAGAAAAAATAAAATAATGCGCTAACTACAATAACATAAATTATCTACGTTAATACAGGTTCAATGTTCAATCACTACATACTTACATACAAGAAATAAAAATAATGTGCTAATTACATAATACAAATTACAATAACTATCTACGTTATACAAATCATGTGGTGAAAAATGTGGAAACTTTTATAAAAATTAGATTATAACAAAACATAACCACTGGCTTCTTCCTTAGCTAGCGTTTTCACAGTCGTAGGTTGCCCTCGCGCAAGCTCGGCTTTACGCGATGGGTGCGCTGTAGTCACAGCGTTCATGCCTTGTGTCCTTGCACATTTCATAAGCGTTATCGGCTTCTGAAGACCAAAGGATAGGCGAATTATCATTCTTGAAATATTCAAAGTATTCAACTTCGATACGCGGCTGCGTAATTTTCTCAAATCGTTGACTGTGTTTCAATTCATTAATTGCTTTGTATTTCTGCTCTGTTGGCGATTTCTTGGCTCGTTATCGGATAACCTAAGAAATATTCGCTCTGGAGGGACTCACATTTTTCTAAATGTTTGTAATCCCAAGTTAAGAGTCAGCGTTTTCTCACCATAAGTGTTTTATCTTTGAACCATTCGTGGTATATTATAACATATTGCTCATTTGGCATTGTTGCTTATCACATCATATGTTGCTCCCGTAACGATTAAAAACCTCATACCACTTTTTCAGTCGGTAAAAATAAGGCGGTTAGACGGGTAGATAGCACAGAAGCCGTGCTGGCTGTGCGATTTTTAGTTTCCTTGATTCGTTTGTTTCCAATCACATGATTTTTCACATTTTTCTGCATACGTTGATACATATTATAATAACAAAATCTTCTTACTTGACTAGGCGACCTTGGCCTGTAACTGCTGCGTCGCAAATTTTCACGGTCATGGCACAATTATTATTTCAATTGCACATGTTTTAGTTGAGTTAGCACATTTTCCATTGTTTGGTCTTGAATGTTGTAGTAGACTGATGAACTGCTGAGACTTCATTATTTTTGCATTCTCTAATATTTTATTAGCGATTTGATTCTTTTGAAGTTCCAAGACTGATTCCAGCTGCACAGACGAGGTTGGTCCTTTCAGAAATCGGGAATACGGATGTGACAGGGGTACTGGCAGCGACTTCTCGTAGTGTTGTGTTCACGACTTGCACGGAGTTGACATGATGACGATGATTGATGTTGAAGTGACGTCACGGATTTGCTCTGCTCAATCGGGGTAGCCAATTTGATTCCATGTCAGATGAAAGCTGGCGGAGGCTGATGCTGAAGATGGTGGTGGGTGATGGAGGTTACGTCTCACATCACGTTGGCTTGGTACGTTTATCTTCGTCGTCACCAATTTGTGGCAACTTCGTCGGGATCATCTTCTTCGTCGGGTTCGTCGTCGGGGTCACCAATTTGTGCCATCTTCGTCGTCAGGTTCGTCGTCGGCTCCGTCGGCTTCGTCTTCTTCGTCGGGGTCACCAATTTGTGCCATGTTGGGGGACCGTATGAATGAGACACGGGTTGTAGTTAGTCTCTGATATTAATCTGTTTATTAATGTGAACTGCGTGACTATTTATACGATATAGATCAAAGGTAAATGACGTCACAGCATCAGCACTATACGTGATAAATGTGCTGACACTGTGAACGTGATCAAGATAAGATATGAAGAGATTTAGTATTGTGCATACCGGCACAGTACTCCCCCCCTTTAAATAAGAAAAAATAAAATAATGCGCTAACTACAATAACATAAATTATCTACGTTAATACAGGTTCAATGTTCAATCACTACATACTTACATACAAGAAATAAAAATAATGTGCTAATTACATAATACAAATTACAATAACTATCTACGTTATACAAATCATGTGGTGAAAAATGGGGAAACTTTTATAAAAATTAGATTATAACAAAACATAACCACTGGCTTCTTCCTTAGCTGGCGTTTTCACAGTCGTGGGTTGCCCTCGCGCAAGCTCGGCGTTACGCGATGGGTGCGCTGTAGTCACAGCGTTCATGCCTTGTGTCCTTGCACATTTCATAAGCGTTATCGGCTTCTGAAGACCAAAGGATAGGCGAATTATCATTCTTGAAATATTCAAAGTATTCAACTTCGATACGCGGCTGCGTAATTTTCTCAATTCCTTAACTGTGTTTCAATTCATCGATTGCTTAGTATTTCTGCTCTGTTGGGCGATTCCTTGGCTCGTTATCGGATAACCTAAGAAATATTCGCTCTGGAGGGACTCACATTTTTCTAAATGATTGAATTCCCAAGTTAAGAGTCAGCGTTTTCTCACCGTAAGTGTTTATCTTTGAACCATTCGTGGTATATAACATATTGCTCATTTAGCATTGTTGCTTATCACTTTTACATTGCTCCCGTAACGATTAAAAAACCTCATACCACTTTTTCAGTCGGTAACAATGAGGCGGTTAGACGGGTAGATAGCACAAAAGCCATGCTGGCTGTGCGAATTTTAGTTTCCTTGTTTCGTTTTTTTCCAATCACATGATTTTTCACATTTTTCTGCATACGTTGATACATATTATAATAACAAAATCTTCTTACTTGACTAGGCGACCTTGGCCTGTAACTGCTGCGTCGCAAATTTTCACGGTCATGGCACAATTATTATTTCAATTGCACATGTTATAGCTGTGTTAGCACATTTTCCATTGTTTGGTCTTGAATTTTGCTGATGTTGTAGTTGACTGTTGAACTGCTGAGACTTCATTATTTTTGCATTCTCTAATATTTTATTAGCGATTTGATTCTTTTGAAGTTCCAAGACTGATTCCAGCTGCACAGACGAGGTTGGTCCTTTCAGAAATCGGGAATACGGATGTGACAGGGGTACTGGCAGCGACTTCTCGTAGTGTTGTGTTCACGACTTGCACGGAGTTGACATGATGACGATGATTGATGTTGAAGTGACGTCACGGATTTGCTCTGCTCAATCGGGGTAGCCAATTTGATTCCATGTCAGATGAAAGCTGGCGGAGGCTGATGCTGAAGATGGTGGTGGGTGATGGAGGTTACGTCTCACATCACGTTGGCTTGGTACGTTTATCTTCGTCGTCACCAATTTGTGGCAACTTCGTCGGGATCATCTTCTTCGTCGGGTTCGTCGTCGGGGTCACCAATTTGTGCCATCTTCGTCGTCAGGTTCGTCGTCGGCTCCGTCGGCTTCGTCTTCTTCGTCGGGGTCACCAATTTGTGCCATGTTGGGGGACCGTATGAATGAGACACGGGTTGTAGTTAGTCTCTGATATTAATCTGTTTATTAATGTGAACTGCGTGACTATTTATACGATATAGATCAAAGGTAAATGACGTCACAGCATCAGCACTATACGTGATAAATGTGCTGACACTGTGAACGTGATTAAGATAAGATATGAAGAGATTGAGTATTGTGCATACCGGCACACTACTGAAAATTCAAAACTGTTAATTTCATCATCATCATCATCATGTCAGCCATAGGACGTCCACTGCTGAACATAGGCCTCCCCTAATGCTTTCCACATTGATTAATTTCGTTAATTTCATCAAAGTTCGTTAATTTCATCTAAAGTTCTGAAGGATTGTGTGAGTGAACTTATTACTGTTCTAACTCACCTAATTAACTTGTCTTTTTCCTCTGGCGTATTTCCAGAACAACTTAAACTCACTACTGTAAAACCTTTGCATAAAAAAGGTAACGAGGATGAAATTGATAATTATCGTCCTATTGCCATCATATCAGTTTTTTCTAAGATATTTGAAAAGTGTTTCTACAAACAGCTGGTTGAATACTGTAACAGGTTTAATTTATTACATAAAGATCAATACGGATTCCAAAAAAATAAATCCACCACTTTGGCCATACATAGGTTTTTGGAAACTGTTTTAACAGGTATAAATAATAAAAAATTGACAACTGGTATATTTATTGATCTGTCTAAGGCATTTGATCATGTATCACATCAACTACTAGCACAAAGGCTTGATATGATTGGTGTACGGGGACTCGTGTTGAAATGGATAATGTCATATACTAGTAATAGAAAACAATGTGTAGTTGTAGATACATTAAACAATAAAAATGAGATAATATCGTGCTCATCACAATATAAATATAACCAATGTGGTGTACCACAAGGTAGCGTATTAGGGCCAATTTTATTTATTATATACATCAATGACATTTTTAATGCAACTGGACATCATCAATGTATCGCATTTGCAGATGACATATCTATTACAGTAACCTCAAATAACATAGTGACAGAACATGAGAATGACGTAAATGCAACTATTAATGACATAATTAAATTTCTTGACATGCATAGTTTAAAAATTAATCTGACTAAAACAAAATATATACAATTTAATAAATATAAACATATTAATCTTGACATTAAATATAAAGATATAGACATTAATAAAGTAGATCAAATTAAATTTTTGGGAATAATAATTGACAAAGATCTTAATTGGAAAAACCATATAGATAGTATTTGTAGCCGTATCAATTCATTTGTATATGCTCTAAAGTGTGTCAGATCAGTCACTAATCTAGGTACGGCAATCACGGCCTACCATGCTTATGTGGGGTCTTTATTACGGTATGGACTATTGATATGGGGCAATAGCCCTCATATCAATAGAGCATTTATTGCTCAAAAAAAATGCCTTAGAGCAATGTATGGTGTTCCCCCGCGTACGTCCTGCCGTCCTCTATTTAGTCAGACGCAATTACTAACTCTGACTTCTCTTTACATATTTGACACATGTGTATTTGTTATGCAGAATAAGCACTTATTTAAACGGGCATGTGATTACTATCCAAGAAATAGTAGAGATGCAAACAGGTTGGTACTTCAGGTCACCCCAAAAACAGTGCAGTACAAAAATAGCTGTTTAATCATGTGTATTAAAATCTATAACAAAATACCCAAAGAATTTAGGACATTAAACATTTGTAATTTTAAGAAACATTTGAGTAAATGGTTGCTATCACTGACACTTTACGATTTAAAAGAGTTCTTTGACTTGCTGTAGTTTTGTTCTTCTTTAGAATCGTCGCTAATATTGTGGTGTTCCTAATTTAACTTTTGCATGCTAATAATTTTAGCTAAACATGTATAGTTCTCACTGTCTGTACCTAACATCTTTATATACCATGTTTAATTGCAAATAAATGATTATGATTATGATTATTATTATGAAAAGCAATAAAATATAAAATACCTAAAACAAATAAATATTGCCGGGGACAACGTCAAGATAACTGAAGGGACAATGTAGTTGATAGAACTGAAGCCAATTTTTCTGAGCAACGTCCGACGACCACACCCACAACCTGTAGCTACGCCCTAAATCTGAACAAAATGGCAAGCAGCAAGAGAAAACACTACCATGGTTGAAGCAGCAAGAATACAGGCTAACAACTTAAACTTGAATACAGGCTAAAAACTTTTAACAGCGTCGAAACATTCGTTCTCTCTGTATGCTTCACTCGATTCTCTTCAATCCTGACTCTCCACCTTATCTAAAAGAGATGTTCCAGTACCTTCATTCTACTCACAATAGAAATCTTCGCTCTAATCAGACTCTTCAGCTTGTCACCCCTCGCCACACCACCGGTTTCATGTCTAACTATTTATTGTTTTAACAACGATGTGATATTTCGAGTTTAAATTAATTGCCAAGTCATAGTATATTTAACATAGAATCTAAAAAAATTGTTTTCTTTTTCTGTTTCTGTTTACTCAATTTTTAAAAACGATACCTATGTATAAACTATTTGTGAAAACTATTTTGGCAAATGTGAAGTTTAATTGGTAACTCTATATGTGTTATAGAATGCTGTTTGTTTTCCTAACAATAAAATAAAATAAAATAAAATAAAAACTCCTTCTCAGTCTCAGCAGTACGGCTCTGGAACGGCCTTCCGGCGAGTTTGCGAAAAGCAACCTCCAAATTCACATTTAAAAAGGCTCTGCGCAACTATTTCAAAGACTAAAACTTTTTTTTTTTTTCTCATATCTCTGACATGTGTTATGTGTACGCCAATATTAATATTATGTTTATGTATCTTTGTGTATGTCTATTATATTAATATGTATTCGTATGTTATTTATTTTATCTAATGCTATGTAAGTAGGTATATTAATTAAACGTCATATTTATTACACCGCCTTAATCTCTCTACTCGACCTGTGGTTGACTGGCAGATAATGCCACCTGGCATTAAGTCCGCCACTGTACATATGTATGTGCAAAAGTGTAAATAAATAAAAAAAAAAAAAAAACTTACTGGAGAAATCGGTCAAGATGTTTGAACAGAACAAGGTAAGAAAAGAAAAGAAAAGACGTGAATTGTGTGCAAATTATAATATTCATTAGTCACGCCACGTAAGCCAGGGAAGGTCTGCGGTTTTCTTAAACCAAATAGACAGTAGCTAAAACACTCGCTTTCAATTATTTGGAATTGAGTGGCCGAGAAGGTGAATCGTCGAAAGTGAAGAAAGACGCAGAAAAGAAAATAAAATGGCGATAGATGAGTTATTTTGTCGAAATGTTAATTGGGTAGCATTCGGATTCGGGAACGTCTTCTGGCATCGTTCTACAAATGTTCGTGGATCTAGGTCAGGTCCAGACCTGACCGCAGACAAGCGGTGCGGTTTACGTTCTTTGCTTGCGCTCGCACGGTTAGATCGTGAATACAACATTTATAGAGACTGACAGTGTTGTCCATGCGATGCGAGGCGTTCTTCTTTTCTTCTTCTTTTCGTGTCGACAACAAACCTACACAGTGTCAGCCCAAAACTCCGCCACAAGAGTGGCGTTGTCAGTAGCACTCATCAAATCCTCCTGAGTGCAGTTGCTTGGGCACTCAGGGCATGACATCAGGTGCCTCATAGACTGGGGAACAAAACCGCACCTGCACTCCATGTTCAAGCCATCCAAGAATCCCCACCTGGCCATGCGAGGCGTTGACCTGTAGCCTTATTCACGTAACAAAATTTCAACAACAAAACACTCGAGTTGCGATCCTATCGAGTAATCGTTCTATCAAAATGACCCTTGTGAATGCGGATTTAGAACTGTTTTTCAATAGGACGACTTCAGAACGTCAGCGAGATCTTGACTGTCAAAATACGTGAAATAGGCCACTGACCTATTCATCTCTTGATGTTAGTAAAGCCTGGTCCGTGAGCACGTAGAATCCCGTCCAATGACCCCAAGCTACCCATCCTTATCGCTCGCGCGTAATTATATTGCTGTCGCGACTGTGCGACGCGCGCCCGCAGTGAGTGTGCGAGCGCGACAGCAACATAATTACGTGCGAGCGACAAGGATGGGCAGCTTGGGGTCATTGGACGGGATTCTACGTGCTCACGGACGAGGCTTTAGTGCGGCGAATGTTTGCAATATGTATTCTCACTCAGGCGTGGTGGAAGGCGACCCGCGCTGCGTGGACGCGTACCTGGCCAGCGGCGGCGACCCGGCGCGCGCGCTCACGCCGCACGAGGTCGCGCTGCTCAACCGCGCCTCCGCCTTCGACGCCGGCCACACGCTCGTGCACCTGGCCATAAGGTACACACACACGACACATAGATAGAATTAAGGCCCGGTTTCCACCAAAGCGGAACGGAGCGGAAAAGTTTCGGGTTCTCATTTTTTTATAAAAGACAGCGGCGGCTGCGCGGCTCGGAGCATAGAAGAGATTTGAAAATAATGAAATCTGATGGGTTATTTAAAACACTTCTCTGTTCCGTTCCGCCTCGGTGGAAACCGGGCTTAATTCATGCAGCTGTTTCTAAATACAACCGTGTGCAAGAATTTATTTCTGTATCTATCATGAAAACTTCTAAAACGCTGTTTCCACGTATCTTCATCGTCGAAGAAGAAAACGAAGATCGAAATTGAAGATGCCGTATCGCCAGTTGCGCGCGCAGACCTCGGTAGAACCATCCATATTGGTAACAAAATGAATGGTTCCCCGGGGCGTGCGCCTGCCCACTCATCGCTCGCTGTGCACGCTCCAGGCTCAAGACAACTATGACGTATTTTTGACTTTTTGTGTTATTATACCTTATAGATCGTTGCATCCAAGAAGACGCGCCCCACCAATTTTTGGTCGAGGGAAGCGCGGGGTGCGATGAGTTTTGATCCGAGCAGTCCGAGCGTCATTATTGTAGTGTGCGTGTGGTGCACTCATGGATAAGTTAGCGTGTACCACTAACACTCAAACATTAGCGGAAGAATGGTGGGGCGCGTCTTCGTGGCTGAAACAATCTATAGTGTATGGAAACTGGAAACATTAAATTTTCGGATCATCATCATCATCCCAGCCATAGTTTCCACCCTCTATAGTTCTATACCAACTATTTCATGCAGCTATTTCATGATAAAACCGTGTGCAAGAATTTATTTCTGTAGCTCCCATAAAAACTAGGTACTAAAACGCTGTAACTTCATCGTCGAAGATGAACGAAATCGAAGATGCCTTGTCGCCGACATCACTGTTGCGCGCGCAGGCCTCGGTAGAACCATCCATATTGGTAACAAAATGAATGGTTCCCTGGGGCGTGCGCCCGCCCATCATCGATGGCTGTTCACGCTCCAGGCTCAAGACAACCCAGAGCCCCGATTACGGTAACTTTTAACGTCTACAATCCAGACGCGTTTCTGATGCGTTTCTGATTCTGCAATACGATTGGTCAAAACAGCTGACGTGCGCTGTTGAACGACCAATCGTATCGCAGAATCGAGAAGCGTGTCTGGATTGTTGACGTTAAAAATTACCGTAATCGGGGCTCAGTTCTGCAACTTCAACTGTTTTTCTATGACGTATTTTTGACTTTTTGTGTTATAACTTGTAACGTTTTTAAATTGTAAATTGTATTTGTGTATAGTCTGTTTCGACGTGATATTTTTTGTATTGAACAAATTGTTGACAACATTGAATTAATATGATATAATTGCGGTAAATGTGTGTGTATTAATTAACTGTATTGTATTATGCCTACATTATGTGACTATATTAGTGACTTATGGTGATCTTATGTGACTTTTTTGTACTTGATGCCTAATAATTATCGAAACTATAGTAGGTATTTTATAGCTAATCTGAACTATCTCACCTCTAGAATTTATGATTTTCAGAAAGTCTGATTGAAAGGTTTTGATAGTTCGGCAATAAATAAATGTTTTTACTCATGATTTCTTTGCTTTTAATAATAATAATAGTAAATGATGTAAATGTATTTATTTCAGATTTCAAAGGCAAGACATCTTGTCGACGTTATTATCCCGGATATCGGGCGGCGGGCCCGGCCTCAAACGTTCCCCTTCCTACATAGGTAAGCTTTTTTTACACGTTTTTTCCTTACTATGGTCAAAAAACGATTCTAAGAACAATTATAACTTCCTATTAAGTTATTCGCACGTCAGCTAAGGCACTTCGTATTCGTTCAGCCGAGCCAAAGTAATTATAAAACATCTCAATCTCTCAATACTTTTCAAGGCGAGAATGAACAAACACTCACAGGAGTCATAGGGCAGGTATGTACCGACTACCGTCCTGGATTGCATCTCACTTAACATCAGGTGCGATTGCGGTAATACCTCGTTCATTTCAGTCGAAAGAAGTTTACTGCCGGACAGAAGCCTCCCTCATGGTTTTCCACAAAGACCGGTCCTGCGCTGCCCAAATGAGGAGAGAACCAAAGTGACTGACATAGCCCGCAGAATCGCTAAAATCATGTGGCTTGGGCGGGGCGCATAGCTCGCAGAGCTGATGGCCGCTGGGGCAGAAATGTTTTCGAGTGGCGACCACGAGCCGGAAGACGTAGCGTGGGCAGGCCTCCCACTAGGTGGACCGACGATCTATCTGGTAAAGGTCGCAGGAAAGAAAGAAAGAAAAACATTTATTTGGTTCCAACTTAAAATATAACACACAGATAACAAAAAAGAAGTACAAGTAGTTAGAACCAAAATTGGCCACCGCTCAGCATGTGTCATGCTCTGGAATAGTAAATAAAACCCAGAACATGACGCTGTTATTCTGCGGTGACCATTTTTGGAGAGAGCTGGAATACTCGCCTATAATTAATTATTAACAAACATGAGACAACTCACAAAAAAACAAACAAAAGAGAAAAAACAAAATAAAAAATACAACATTAAAAAAAAAAGTAAATATGTAGATGATGCCCAACATTAACCGTCTCAGCCATGACACTGACTGTCGGTTGTTGTAACAATAAGATATTTGCAAGAGGGCGCCACCATGGCGGTGCCTGGATGCGGGCAAACAGCTCGTTCTGCATAAAACAAAGTATGGTTGTTTCCAGCGCCGGACCTGGCGGCGGCCATCCGGCGGCACATGGCGGGCTGCGTGCGCCACAAGAAGGGCAGCTTCCCGTGCCGCTACATCAACGAGCTCAGCACCTTCGCGCTGCCCGCAGGTACGCTGCCTCCGGGACCTATTCTAAATCCTATTCTAGTTCGCACTCATCGAGTCGCTTACTCGAGTGGCGAGTCATTTATACAGGGTGTTGATTTCAATCCTCGCCATATTTAGGGAGTTGATTTAGTAGCTTATTCTGATCACGAATCAGTAAAAAAATTGACTTGGAAAAAAAATTAAAACGAACTTTTAGTCAGTCAAAGAAAAATACCTAATTTACACTACCTACTTTACTTGGCTTCCTTCAGTAGGCTATCCGACATAATAAGCGAGCAATCCGCGTAGCTCGATGGTGCTGCAGTGTAAACATATTGCAGTATTGTGAGCCATAATACAGTTGATGTCGCACGGAAAATATTCGATAAAAATTCCACTTTCGTTTGTAATTTTTTTTTGGTGGATAATGCGTGTCATAATAGATCACCTAAATAAATATGGCGAGGATTGAAATCAACACCCTGTAGATCGTTTCATCCACGAAGATGCGCCCCGTCACCTTTTGGTCGAGAGAAGCGCGGGGTGGGGGTCTGATCCGAGCAATCAGAGCGTCATTATTGTAGTGTGCGTGTACAACAATAATGACGCATTCATGAGTGCACATGCGCACTACAATAATGACGCTCGGATTGCTTGCATCAAACTGCCCGCACCCCGCGCTTCCCTCGAACTAAAAGTGGTGGGGCGCGTCTTCGTGGATGAAACGTTCTATAAACGTAACTAAACATGTGCGAACACCAAAAACATAGTCTATTAGATTACATTTAGTAATTCGTTTGTCGAGCCGATCCATTTTGTTATATTTTAACAGGCTATTGGCACCCCCCACCCGTCTCTGTCCACACACTCACCTGCTAAATGAGTCCGAACCGGGCGGTTTAATCGAGTTCATACAAAAAATCAAAATCAATTTATTTGCTTGATTACAAATTTAATATTTATTTACAAAAACTAATTAATATTTAAAAAAAAAAATTTTATGACACAGAGAACAAGCAATAACAGTACATTTGACACAAAAACATAATACAAAACCTAATACATTTATACACAGGTAACTTAATCGATTTGAGATCGTCAACGATTACTTATGCATGTCGTATTTTAGTGTAGGTACAGTTATTTAAAGTCTATCACAGACGAGGACTGTGACGTATATCGACTCATTAATTTGGAGATTAGTGTGCCGAATCGACTAATCCCCCTTTGTTGTTCGTCGAGTCATTGATTTACGGTGCCGTTAAAATCAATTTGGCACGTGCACGCGGCGTCGATCGAAGAGTATTGTTGATGTTGTTATTATTATAGCTTTTGGCCCTTGTTTCTTAAACGCGCCAAGTCTCTAAGTTTTCATTTATTAAATAGAAAGCCACGTTTCAAACAATTTATCTGACGGAATCATAAATTATGAGACTTTACGATGTGTTTGTTCTCCGTAGCTGTGTTATGTAAATAAATAAATTGTACTCGAATTTGTAAGCCATTCTACTTCTAGTAAACAGTGTGTTGTATTATTGACAAATCTACGTAAGGCCAAGTAATAATGGTACACACAAATTTTCGCCTTTATAATATTAGTGTGGTGTTCTGTAAATTACTATTTTAGTTACGTGTGCATTTTATGAATTTGTAAAAGATTGACAAAGGAATAAAAATGTTTTCGAAACGATAATATTTAAGCTTGGCTTGATAATATTTAATAATAGGGATGCTTTCTAGGTAAAAAAAGCAACAGTTTGGATTAGTCCGTCGGCTAACTTGTCAAAAAATACTTGACACTTATATTTCACTTTTACAAACTAATGAAAATTTAAGGAGATAAAGTGCGCCAAAGTTTAATAGAAGAGGCCCGTGACGTCAAGGCGTGTTTAAAAGTCTAGCACTTTGTGACGTCACGCGGATCTTCAACGCATCATAACTTCGGAATTACTTGTTTGATTGACAAACAAAAATATACGTGTCCAATATTTTTTTATAATGTAATGAGGACTATCGTTTTAGCGCTCACCAGTTAGCGCCACTGTAGAGTAAGGTCCTGTCACTTGCTAGTAGCGAAGACAGTGGCACCAACTGGTGAGCCGCGAAAGTGGTAGGAGGACTATCGTATTTGCACTCATCAAGATGGCGCCACTGTAGAGTAAGGTCCTGTCAATCGCCAGGGGTGCCAACTGTTAAGTATAAAAACGATAGCCCTCATTGACAGAATAAAAGTTTTTCTTTTTAGGAAATTAGCCTATTGTTTATTTGTGCAGAGATCGAGGAGCTCCCGGCGGCGATACAGGAGCAGCTGTTCTCCGAGCTGTTGGACCGCGACGCGCAGCAGACGTTGGAGGCCGAGCCGCCGCTCATCAACTGGAGCCACGAGCTTTCCGTCACGCTGGGTAACTCCCGTCATTCTCCTCCACAATAAAAATAACATGTATTGCATGTTGTGTCAGCCTATAATTGTTGTTGCATTGTAACTTCATTGTTCATAAATTGTTATTTTTAGGTGTACATGTTGTTATGTAACAATGTTGGTAGACCTAATAAATAAATAAATAAATAAATAAACTTTATGTCCAAGGGTCTAAGGTTCAAGATTACATTAATGACAAGGATGCGTGGTCAGTCTAGTCTGCGCATACTTTATTTATTTATTTTTCTTTATTCAGAAAACCACAGCTCTTTATAATATACAAACATGTATTTTTGTTCTTACAGCCAATAATGGATTCTATATATTATTACAATCTCGTAAAAAAACAGTCAAAGGGGCAAAAAAGAAACATATTGCTTGCTTTGCTTGAAACGCTTGCATGCAGGTTGTGTGTGCGTCCAGGCACTCTTTCAAGAGGGAGATTTGCGACTTAGTAGGTAAATGAAAACACACGCACACGCCATCACACACACACACACACAACCTGCATGCAAGCCTATGTTTCTTTTGTTCGTTACTTGAATTTAGTAACTGCTGGCGATTACATAGTGGTGACTAAATTTGTTCTGACGTTTCTTTTGTCTCGAAGCCTAGTTGGGCTCAAAATATGAGAGACTTATGTCCGTTTTCACCATCAATCCCAAATTTTTAAGTTACCCATAGGGGTACCATAGGGTAACACATAATATGAATTTTGTTTTCATAGGGGTCACTTAAAAATTAGGAATTGATGGTGAAAACGGGCAAAAGACTCCTTAAAGGGCTAGGACCTTTTTGTAAAATGTATTTTTAATGTCCATCCATAAGTGCTCAAACTTGGTTTAAATTGAGTGAGAGATATTTTATTCAATGGCACACGTCGCTAGCCACCTGCGTGGCACAGTGACGTCTGACGTGTCACGCGGATGGCATAGCAAGCGTACGCTTGCTAAAGCCATGGTTGGCTGCTTTGGATTCGGTGGAAAGGCGTGCCAGGAGACTAATCGACAGCCCGACCCTTGTTGAAGCGTCGCTCCAGGAACTTACCATCGCAGTAAAGTTGCTTCTCTAACGGTTTTCTACAGGCTACAGTTCGGAGAATGTGCGAAGAAATTATACTACCTAATTCCACCAGCCCCCTTCCATCACCGGGGAACCAGACGCAGGCTAGCGTACATAGTCGACATTCCACCAGCTCGCACTAAGCGTTACGACGACTCGTTTATAATGCGAACAGCTAGGGACTGGAATTCGCAGCCTGCTGCTGTATTTCTTGAACACTATAATCCGGGCGTTTTCAAGGCGAGAGTGAATAGGCACTTACAGGGCAGATATGTACCATCCTAGACTGCATCTCACTTAACACCAGGTGCGATTGCGGTCAAATACCTGCCTTGTCCAGCATTAAAAAAAATAGTCATCAGGTGCTGACGTCACTTGTGTCTTGTGTCGGCAGGGTCGCGGCTGTACGCGCTGTGGAACCGCTCGGCCGGCGACTGCCTGCCCGACGCCGTGTGCCAGGCGGCCTACGGCGTGTTCGACCGCCACAACGCGCTGCGCGCCGCGCTCGCCGACTCGCTGCACCACGCGCACAGGAGGCGAGTACTCACACAATAGACAGTTTGACACCATACCTCAATAATTCAAAACCACAACTTTTTTTAAAAAGACCCTTCATTCTGGTCTTAAAAACTTAATTAATTTCAAATTACCTGTAAATTACGATTTTTGTTCGCATTGTGATTGAAAAAAGTAGTTTAATTGAGTTGAAAAAATAGTGACGTCACTTGCTTGTAGTGCCATACAAAATCTATGGGAGAGTTTCGTTTTGACAGTTTTAAAAAGTACGTCAATTGATTGGTGGTGTCAACATGTCTATTCAATTCAATTTATTCATTTAAAGATAACAATGATCCACATGGTTAGTAAATGGGTGCCTTATACAACTATGTTAGTAATTTATTTATTATAACATACGTCCTCGCCACACCTCCGGCTTCATGTCTGACTCCTTCTCAGTCTCAGCAGTACGGCTCTGGAACGGCCTTCCGGCGAATTTGCGAAAAGCAACCTCCAAATTTACATTTAAAAAGGCTCTGCGCAATTAATTTAAAGACTAAAACTTTTTTCTTATCTCTGACATGTGTTTTGTGTACGCCGATATTATTATTATGTTTATGTATCTAGGTGTATGTCTATTATATTAATATGTATTATGTTATTATTTTATCTAATGCTATGTAAGTATATTAATTAAACGTCATAGGTATTTATTGCACCGCCTTAGTCTCTCTACTCGACCTGTGGTTGACTGGCAGATAATGCCACCTGGCATTAAGTCCGCCACTGTACAATTGTATGTGCAAAAGTGTAAATAAATAAATAAATAAACATACCACTAATTATCCAACCCGTTCGGTAAGAAGTAGCCGAAGGAAATGTCGGATAATAGGCAATGACAACATCATCGTCTCAGTCACAGGACGTCCACCGCTGAACATAGGCCTCCCCCAATGCTTTCCATGTTGCCCGGTTGGTAGCGGCCTGCGTCCAGCGCTTTCCTGCTACTTTGTGATGTCGTCGGTCCACCTTGTGGGTGGACGTCCCACGCTGCGTTTTCCGGTACGCGGCCTCCACTCCAGAACCTTGATGCCCCATCGGCCGTTAGTTCTGCGTACTATGTGCCCTGCCCATCGCCACTTCAGCTTGCTAATCCGTCGGGCTGTCAGCGACTTTAGTTCGTTTACGGATCTCTTCATTTCTGATTCGATCTCGCAAAGAAACACCGAGCATAGCCCTCTCCATAGCACGCTGTGCAACTTTGAGCTTCTGTATAAGGCCTAAAGTGAGAGGCCACGTTTCCGAGCCATAAGTTATCACTGGTAACACACATTGGTTGTAGACTTTCGTCTTCAGGCACTGGGGTATTTTGGACGAAAAGATGTTGCGTAGTTTCCCGAACGCTGTTGAAGATGTTGCGTAGTACGTTTACGGATCTCCTCATTTCTGATTCGATCACGTAAAGATACAATGACAATTGTGTCCAATCTCCATCTTTTGTTATAAGATACACTATACAAGAATGCATGGTAAATTCAGTGAACTGCTCCTGAATCGAATGTACCTACTACTGCTATTTCTATTTATTTATATTAACCGGCAGATCGTGGTGACTGAGTTTGTTGCGGCGCTTCTTCTCAGCACTTGCCAAATGTTGGTCTCGAAGCGCTGGTAGGGTAAAAAGATTATGAGACATGTAGAGGCTCCTTAAGAGCAAAATGACGATTTGTAAGAACTATTTGCCGTATGGTGACGGCAGAGTAGAATACATTTGTCACCAACCCCTACTCTTCCCGCGGGTGTCGTAAGAGGTGACTTAGGGACTACACATCAAACAGAGAATGGGCAGCAGCGCTCTCTGAAAAACATCAATCTTTTAAACTGCGATCTCCAACCCGCCTGCCAAGCGTGGAGATTATGGCAAAACCCTCCACTATAGTGGAGGAGGCTCATAGTCCAGCAGTGGACTGTAAAGGGCTGTTGATGATGAAGAACTATTTATTAGTCTAAACAAATAAAGAAATTTTGACTTTGACTTTGACTTCGAGTGTATGGTGTAACGTGCAGTTATGTCGGCAGCTTCTACAGCCGCTGGCAGGGCTGGGAGCGCGTGCAGGCGGCGCTGCTGCAGTACGCGCCGGACGAGGCGCAGCTGCGCGCGGAGTGGGCGCGCCTCGTGGCCGCCGCCGCGCGCCCCGGCACGCCGCTGCACCAGGTACGCATCGTGACCCGCGCCGTGGGTCACCGCCGGCAGGGCTGGGAGCGCGTGCAGGCGGCGCTGCTGCAGTACGCGCCGGACGAGGCGCAGCTGCGCGCGGAGTGGGCGCGCCTCGTGGCCGCCGCCGCGCGCCCCGGCACGCCGCTGCACCAGGTACGCATCGTGACCCGCGCCGTGGGTCACCGCCGGCAGGGCTGGGAGCGCGTGCAGGCGGCGCTGCTGCAGTACGCGCCGGACGAGGCGCAGCTGCGCGCGGAGTGGGCGCGCCTCGTGGCCGCCGCCGCGCGCCCCGGCACGCCGCTGCACCAGGTACGCATCGTGACCCGCGCCGTGGGTCACCGCCGGCAGGGCTGGGAGCGCGTGCAGGCGGCGCTGCTGCAGTACGCGCCGGACGAGGCGCAGCTGCGCGCGGAGTGGGCGCGCCTCGTGGCCGCCGCCGCGCGCCCCGGCACGCCGCTGCACCAGGTACGCATCGTGACCCGCGCCGTGGGTCACCGCCGGCAGGGCTGGGAGCGCGTGCAGGCGGCGCTGCTGCAGTACGCGCCGGACGAGGCGCAGCTGCGCGCGGAGTGGGCGCGCCTCGTGGCCGCCGCCGCGCGCCCCGGCACGCCGCTGCACCAGGTACGCATCGTGACCCGCGCCGTGGGTCACCGCCGGCAGGGCTGGGAGCGCGTGCAGGCGGCGCTGCTGCAGTACGCGCCGGACGAGGCGCAGCTGCGCGCGGAGTGGGCGCGCCTCGTGGCCGCCGCCGCGCGCCCCGGCACGCCGCTGCACCAGGTACGCATCGTGACCCGCGCCGTGGGTCACCGCCGGCAGGGCTGGGAGCGCGTGCAGGCGGCGCTGCTGCAGTACGCGCCGGACGAGGCGCAGCTGCGCGCGGAGTGGGCGCGCCTCGTGGCCGCCGCCGCGCGCCCCGGCACGCCGCTGCACCAGGTACGCATCGTGACCCGCGCCGTGGGTCACCGCCGGCAGGGCTGGGAGCGCGTGCAGGCGGCGCTGCTGCAAATCAAAATGGAGAAGTTTCGTGATGTTGAAAAAAATATATCTTACTGAAAGGGATTAAAATATAGACCAAAATTAAAAAGACGGTGAAGTTTGTTTTTAAATCCACTTTTTCGCGTGGAACTCAAACATAGGCGATGCGTTGAATTCACGCCAGTTCACGCCACTCGTTCTAATTTCAACCACAACCCTGGCGCGTTGTCGCGATCGACACTTACTATGTCAAAGTCTTCTTCTTCTTTTTGTATATGGCCAGGTCTAGGATATGTCAAAAAAAAGTTACAAAATAATTTTACTAAGAAAGAATCTTGAGTGACCTTGGCTGAAAAATTAAAAACTACTAGATTTTTTAAAATTTGATCTGTCAACAGCACTGGACCAGGGGTGATTCACTGTTTGTACTACCCCGAATGAGTGCCGTGACGTCACCGATCAAATGGCGCGAAATATTTGTTATGCGCAACTTTGGGGCCTTGTAACTTCTGTATTTGTAGAGATATTTTTTCATGATTATTTCACAATTATTATTGGTTTTACTTATATTTTCAAATTTTATTTTAAAAAAAAACTTGGAATCTTCTCCATTATGATGATGACATTTGTATTTACAGTTTCAATTTTGCGTGTCGTATTTCCATGTCCAATTATGTTTCCATTACCAGTATCGTCATTTGTTATCGTTTCCAGTTGCACGTGTTTGTGCTGGCGCACATAATGCGGCGGCCGATCATCGTGTACGGCGTCAACGTCGTCAACTCCTTCCGCGGCGAGGCGCTCGGCTTCGCGCGCTTCCAGGGTGAGTGCGGTTAATGTTGCTAAAGCCTGGTCCGTGAGCACGTAGAATCCCGTCCAATGACCCCAAGCTGCCCATCCTTGTCGCTCGCACGTAATTATGTTGCTGTCGCGCTCGCACACTCACTGCGGGCACCCGTCGCACAGTCGCGATAGCAATATAATTACACGCGAGCGATAAGGATGGGTAGCTTGGGGTCATTGGACGGGATTCTACGCCAGGCTTTATCAGAACACTGGATCGATTGTCACTTATTTGTGTTATATCGTTGACTTTCGTCCTGGCTTTTCCTATGTCGAAGTAGGCAAGAGCCTTTATTTGTGTTTTTCTAGCTTTTAAGATATCCAATTTTAGATAATGTCACAAATACATTGTCATAAAATATTACCTAGATATATTGTACCTAAAGTTTGTATCTAATGGAGCGACATTGTCATCTTAACAAAGCTCCTTAAATAAAGAGAATAAAAACTTTGACTGAAGATGAAGATCGAATACAAGCTACACCTGCGGCGTTGCTTCACCTCGAAGATATCGACGCTGCGTGGCCGCCAGTAGCGCGCGCAGGCCTCGGTAGAACCATCCATATTGCGATTTTCAATGCGAATTCGCTCTAAGTACACTGTGTGACTTTGTTGGTGTACTTAATGAATTAAATATTACAAAGCTGTTTGGTTTATTGTTCGTTTCATCCACGAAGACGCGCCGCACCATTTTTTGGTCTCGGTCGCGCGGGGTGCGGGGAGTTTGATCCGAGCAATCCGAGCGGCATTATTGTAGTGTGCGTGTGCACTAGCGAGTACCGATAACACAAAGATTAGAGGAAGAATGATGGGGTGCGACTTCGTGGATGAAACGTTCTATAGCGACTGACGTTCAATGCAAACTCGCACTAAGGCACACTGTATGTGACTTGGTGTACCTGATAAATAAAATAAAATAAATATAAAATACTAGCTTCCCGGCCGCGGTTTCGTCCGCGTGGAATTTTGTCTGTCACAGAAAAACTTAATCGCGGGCGTCCCTGTTTCAAAAACCGGGATAAAAACTCTTCTATGTCCTTTCCCGGGACTCAAACTATCTCTATGCCAAATTTCATCAAAATCGGTTCAGTGGTTTACTTTTGCATCTAAATATTTATAACTCAAAGGTGACTGACTAATTGACTGACATAGTGATCTATCAACGCACAGCCCAAACTACTGAACGGATCGGGCTGGAAATTTGGCATGCAGGTAGATGTTATGACGTAGGCATCCGTTAAGAAAGAATTTTACGAAACTCCACCCCTAAGGGGGTAAAACGGGATCCACGCGTACGAAGTCGCGGGCGGCCGCTAGTATTAGTATAGAAGTATAGACTTGTTGGCGCTTCTCGAGTCCTCGGGCTTCATCGAGATCGATCGGCCATCATCGGCTCCGCGCGAGGCGCCGGCACACTCCGTACGTGCCCGACGCCCACTCAGCCTCACGACCGCCACCGGTGTCAGACGCGGCCCTCCCACGTAGGCGCGAACTAGCGATATATTTAATCATTACACCTATGAAATACAGTCCGCCTTTAATTTATATCTTAAGTCTAGTAAGACCCTAACAGACTAGTAGATGGATTACAAGGCTGTTTGGTTTCCTTCGCGTTGCATTGTGAGTGAACCAGGCCTGATGTTGTAGGGATCTACTTACCGCTGCTGTGGGAGCCGGAGTTCTGCTCGCGCTCGCCGCTGTGCCTGGGCTACACGCGCGGACACTTCTCCGCGCTCGTGCCGCTCGAGCCCTACTCGCAGCGGCACACATACATCTGCCGGTGAGTCCAGTCGACACGTCTTACCCTCGAGATGCAAGGGTTTCAAGGCAGTGGCGGCGTAGCATGGGTTGGCACCCGGGGCGATCACCCCCCTCCCCCCCGTCATAACTCCTAAGACACCCCCTGGTACCCCCCAGGATTTTTGGGGTTACCTACCGATTCGAAGATTGAAAGACATTCACACCCCCCACCCCCCCGTATCATGACATAGACCGCAGATTTGCCATGCAGATATGCCAGTGAGTACTAATCTGCGCGTGTGTCACCCCCTGATGGCGGACCGCCCCCACCCCCCCCCCCATTACGCCACTACTGTTTCAAGGAAAGGTTACAAAAAAGGAAACAGAAGAATCAAGCTTTCTTCTGGTTCCTTTTTTTCTCATTTCTCAGGGTTTGCATGATCTATTTCAGATTTTATTTTGGGTTTCCATTGTCAGTAACATTTTTGTAACGTCCGATTTTGCGTTTGAATAGAATATAATAGAAAAACCTTTATTTGACACGAAAATACAAATGAAAATGAACAAATAGAAGAGAAGACACAAAAAAAAAACACATTAAACACACAACATTACATTAGACAATACATCAGTCTCGTGCCTAAAAGGCCCCCGCTCAGTATTAATCGAAACGTGCGTGTAAGCGTGTCTCGACACTGGTTTTCAGCGGGTGCCTCTGTGCCATGGTGTGACGGTTTAATGTCCCAAAATTAAAAAAAAACTTTTGATTGCCTTTCAAAATGGCACAAGGCAAACGTGGAAACACAATAGCCATAGAGGAGAAGAAGTCAATCATCTGACAGTTCACGCCACCATCTATGTTCTTTTGCAGAGAGCAACAAGAAGAGAACGAGGAGATGACATTCCTGCCGCTGACGGACTCCGAGGGGAAGCTACTGCCGGTGCACTTCCTCACCTGCGATGAGGTGAGAGCTCGATCGGCGCAATTGAAGTTGCTTATGGTCATGATCATGGTCATGATTCTAAAGTGCCATTAATTAATACAGATGGCAGACGAAGAAGGCGTGGTCCGGCGTTGGCTGTCGGCGTGCGTCACCAGCGGCGGCGTCCTGGCGGCGCGGCAACAGCTGCACGCGCGCCCGCTGCTGCAGGCCCAGCTGCTGGAGGAGTGGCTCAACCACTACCGCCGCCTCGCGTGAGTGCGGCACACAGCCCCTAGCGTCTAGTGTAGTGCGAGTGGCGTGTGTACCAGCGGCGGCAGCTGTAGCGCGCCCGCTGCTGCAGGCCCAGCTGCTGGAGGAGTGGCTCAACCACTACCGCCGCCTCGCGTGAGTGCGGCACACAGCCCCTAGCGTCTAGTGTAGTGCGAGTGGCGTGTGTACCAGCGGCGGCAGCTGTAGCGCGCCCGCTGCTGCAGGCCCAGCTGCTGGAGGAGTGGCTCAACCACTACCGCCGCCTCGCGTGAGTGCGGCACACAGCCCCTAGCGTCTAGTGTAGTGCGAGTGGCGTGTGTACCAGCGGCGGCAGCTGTAGCGCGCCCGCTGCTGCAGGCCCAGCTGCTGGAGGAGTGGCTCAACCACTACCGCCGCCTCGCGTGAGTGCGGCACACAGCCCCTAGCGTCTAGTGTAGTGCGAGTGGCGTGTGTACCAGCGGCGGCAGCTGTAGCGCGCCCGCTGCTGCAGGCCCAGCTGCTGGAGGAGTGGCTCAACCACTACCGCCGCCTCGCGTGAGTGCGGCACACAGCCCCTAGCGTCTAGTGTAGTGCGAGTGGCGTGTGTACCAGCGGCGGCAGCTGTAGCGCGCCCGCTGCTGCAGGCCCAGCTGCTGGAGGAGTGGCTCAACCACTACCGCCGCCTCGCGTGAGTGCGGCACACAGCCCCTAGCGTCTAGTGTAGTGCGAGTGGCGTGTGTACCAGCGGCGGCAGCTGTAGCGCGCCCGCTGCTGCAGGCCCAGCTGCTGGAGGAGTGGCTCAACCACTACCGCCGCCTCGCGTGAGTGCGGCACACAGCCCCTAGCGTCTAGTGTAGTGCGAGTGGCGTGTGTACCAGCGGCGGCAGCTGTAGCGCGCCCGCTGCTGCAGGCCCAGCTGCTGGAGGAGTGGCTCAACCACTACCGCCGCCTCGCGTGAGTGCGGCACACAGCCCCTAGCGTCTAGTGTAGTGCGAGTGGCGTGTGTACCAGCGGCGGCAGCTGTAGCGCGCCCGCTGCTGCAGGCCCAGCTGCTGGAGGAGTGGCTCAACCACTACCGCCGCCTCGCGTGAGTGCGGCACACAGCCCCTAGCGTCTAGTGTAGTGCGAGTGGCGTGTGTACCAGCGGCGGCAGCTGTAGCGCGCCCGCTGCTGCAGGCCCAGCTGCTGGAGGAGTGGCTCAACCACTACCGCCGCCTCGCGTGAGTGCGGCACACAGCCCCTAGCGTCTAGTGTAGTGCGAGTGGCGTGTGTACCAGCGGCGGCAGCTGTAGCGCGCCCGCTGCTGCAGGCCCAGCTGCTGGAGGAGTGGCTCAACCACTACCGCCGCCTCGCGTGAGTGCGGCACACAGCCCCTAGCGTCTATAGTCTGGTCTGCGAGCACGTAGAATTTTGTCCAATGACCCCTAGCTACCCATCCTAATCGCTCGCGCGTAATTATATTGGGATGGGTAGCTTGGGGTCATTGGACAAAATTCTACGTGCTCACAGACCGGGCTTTAGTGTAGTGCGAGTGGCGTGTGTACCAGCGGCGGCAGCTGTAGCGCGTCTACATCACCACATGCTATGTTTATTGTACAGTCGCAGAATGAAAAGGTTCGTCACCTTAGTGTCGGTTTTCGCTTGCACTAGGTACTACCTGCCAACATAACCGTGCAAGAAACAGTGCTGCTAACATTTAAATAAATATGACGTTTGCTAACGAATAAGGTTTTGCTCTTTTATTTTTCTATCCCATCAGTGCAATGTTACAAAATGTCGTTTTTTTTATTTAATAGATAATGGCAGGTTGAACCAACAAGAAGTTTTTAGTTTATCAATCATAATAATCTTCTTGACAAGTTAAATCGTCAAACAACTTTGAACTGAATAATTTTGAACTTTACTGACGAACAGTTAAAGATTATTTTCTCTAACTCGAGATTATTCTGTAACATAATTTCAAAAGGTAATATGTGCTCGCGATTCGTTGAAGGAATCAATTTGAAAACTGACGAACCTTTTCATTCCGTGACTGTACATTAAACATTGCACAAGTCAACTCAAAGTTTTGTCTGTTGCAGACAACAGACTCGCGGGCCGTTCCCGCCGCGGCTGCCCAACGAATACTCCAGCGACCCCGACACCGACGACGAGTGACGCGCGACGCTCGCCACGCGACACAACACTACACGCGCGTGACGACAGGCAGGTGGCAGACACCGCAGGAAATATACAGGGTGGAATTTTGTAATGCCACCTGAAGGGAAAGTACTCTTAATACTGTAGATAGACATTTTTACTCAAAGAAAACATTGCTTTATTTTTGAAAAGAAATAGAACTGCATTCAAAGATTACCAAAAATTTGCTTGCTACACCCGGGAATCGAACCAACTAAAATATGTTAAAAATTACACCCTGTATTTTTATTGAATCGATCGTTAGGGTTAAGTATTAGGATGAAATCTCTCAAACAAACTTGATAAATCAAATGAATGGAAAACCATGAAATCTTAAATTATTGTAATTATTTACAGAAAAGTGTATGGCATGGGGGTAAATTTTCGAAAAAATTTCGCAGTGAATTGAATGCAGTTTTTTTTCTTTTCAAAAATAAAGGAATGTTTTCTTTGAGTAAAAGGACAGTGCCAGGGTCTGGACCAAGTGCTGCCCAGAATCAACCCATAGTGCATTTTCTTCCTCAGGCCTATACTAATGTGTAAACCGAAGCGCACTGAAATCTATCCCTGAAGTTAAGAGAAAAAAAGAGTTTTGTTTCGAATTACTTACATACAAAATATCATCGATGTATACGTACTACGCATAAGATTTCGCGATTTTGGCATTAAATAACACTCGCTATGTTGAACTTAACCATACTGCATCCGTACACGTTACTTTAGTGCGATTTAGACATTCTTTATAAACGATCCAGCGCTGTTTTAATTGTTTGGTAAGTTAACTAGTTAATTATTTCCAAAATGAAGCAAGAATTTTTAGTTCTCTATCCTTGCAAAAAATCAATTCATTGGTGTATTACAATCGATTATTGAAGTTATTGTAAGCTAAAACTTCTTGCTCCATTTTGGAAATAATTAATTTCTGTCAAGTAACCAAACTACTGCAACAGCGCTTGATCGCTTATAAAGAATGTTGAAGTCGTACATAAGTAAGGTGTATGGATGCAGTATGGTTAAGTTCAACATAGCGAGTGTTATTTAATGCCATAATCGCTAAATCTTATGCATAGTAGGTATACATCGATGATATTTTGTATGTAAATAATTCAAAACAAAACTCTTTTTTTCTCTTTACTCCAGGGATAGATTTCAGTGCGCTCCGGTTTATAAATTAGTATTGGCCTAAGGAACAAAATGCACTATGGTTTCATTCTGGGCAGCACTTGGTCCAACTTCCATACATGGATTGGCACTGTCCTTTTCTATCTACAGTATTAAGGGTACTTTCCCTCCAGGTGGCATTACAAAATTCCACCCTGTATAAGGCACACGGGGATACGAAAATGGTGCAGAGTTAAAAAAAAGCGGGCAGCAAAATAAAGAAAAACGGCCGCGCACATTTTTACGATTTCAGATTTGAAACAAGGTTTTCAATCCCTTTTTGGTTAGCAGTTGAATACTATGTGTCTTTGTAAATAACTTTGAAAACGATACAAACTGATAACTTTAAATGACTCCTGTTGTGTCTGTCATTTGTCATGTAAACGCGAATTTTTCATTTCAATCAGTAATTTGCCATTTGAAACCAATGAGAAATTTAAAATGACAAACTGCCCAATAGTATGCAAACTGACAGTAAAGAAATCGAATGTGCAAATGCTGACTCACATGAAAAATTCGAAAATGTTGTAGGATGAATGCTCGAAAACTTGTCTCCACAAATACTAAATAAAACACACATACACAAAGCGCTAATAAGCTGAACAACACGGTCACAAGTATTCCCTTGCATTCACAAACAAATTAATTGTTTACTTTCTCACGATGTTAAATCGATGTAAGTACGATTTTTGTGCAATGGCAAAATCGATACTTCGACCGATTTAGCTAGTATCGAAACCGCGCCAATCTCAAATGTAGCGAAAAATGATCCACATTATCTTTTGGAAACATGGCCAATGATGTTCGTTTCGGTTTCTATGGTCTATTAATCGATATCGATAAACTGTTTCAGGACCACTTAAACTTTCAGCGTGGTTCAGAAATGATACTCTACCAAGCTAGCCGTTTTTTCTAAAGTTAATGTGTGTTGTTTTTGCCGAGTATTTCTTCACAGTGATATGTCTCGGATGAAATAAAATTTTAGTTAAGGTCGCGATAGCGGAGGTCATTTATGTTGTAGTTGAATTTACTTATTATATAGCACTTATTGAATTGCAATAATATATTTTTAATAACGGAGTATTTTCGGGTTTGGGTGACATCTCCCTGTATGTAATAAACGGTGTTTATTCATTCTATTTTCGCAAGCTCTCCTAGACTATGTAAGTCCACTCACGCGACTTGCTTTAATATAGCATAGTGTCCCTGTGTATAACATCGATGTACCTGCTTTTTGGTTGTTTGTAGTCGATAACTACTAACTGAATGATGTTGAAAACAGAGTAAACCCAATGCTAGATTAAAGAAAGTGGCTTAAGGGCTATGCAACAGATCACACGCATTTTAAACTGTCACTACTTTCCAATACACTAAAGAAAATGCGTGCGACTTGTTGGTAAAGGGGTAATCTCAGTGGTTGACAAACAGCTTCAACGAGTCACCTTTTTGACCAATGAGACGATTGGTCTGTTATCTCTGGAAATTGCAATAACTCGTGTGCCGCCTATTGGTCAAATTGTCTAGTTTTAATCACAATGAGAGATAATAGACGAGTGGCCATATAAAACCTGTTATTAATCAGGCCGCCGAATCGAGACTCGCTCGCTCTCTTATATTGATTACGACTGTTTCCTTTACTGTAAAATGATGTCACGAGGAATTGAAACGAAAAGTTTCGATTTCAGGTTATCATTGCATTAATAAAAATATGACATAGGTATAAAAGAGTGAAGTGCTGTGATTCGATTCAGTGACCAAACGATGGCAGGACTTATCGGTCAAACTGTTCAGTGTCTTTGTCGGGTGTTATGTCGGACATTGCGTCACCCCAAGCTTATGGGCCGGAGTGGTGCTGGCAGGTGCGCGGGAGCCGCGAAGACAAAGTAAGGGGCTTGCTCGGCCGGCGTTTACTTCGTCGCGGGGTCGTACCGAGGGTATGCACTCCTAGCTTAGACAATAATTACATTATTTTGTAATTGCGGAGATCAGTCGTTGTTCGGCAAGTAGTTTAAGAAAATTTCAGTTGTTCCAACGACTGCCATTCGTGGGCTTGCCTTTGAGTTTTGAATCTACTTACTTATTATTAAGGGGGTTTCTATTCATAATTGCCCAAGGAAAGAATATAAATCTTTATGCGATGCTGAATAGCTGAATATGTGGTTCGTAATTTGTGAACGAGGTCTTGGCAGCACCATTGTCGCACCACTCCCGCTGCCCAAAGCTTCGAATCTGTTACGCTAGACTTAGTTTAAGACTTCATCGGTGTGCTCAACGTTTGTCTGACTGAATTGGTCTCATATAAAAGCTAAATACCTACAGAATTTCTAGCATAAGTGGGCTGATTACCGTAGTTTCCGTGCTCATGAAACATTTTTAATTTTCTCATATCAAATGGACTTGAGACAACGAAACACTTGTAAATTATAGTTAGTGACATTAGTTTTTTGTATGAGATCAATAACAACGAAACTCAATGTAACTCAGTGCCCGTAATGGATCATTCAAATTAATGTAACCGATATGAATACAGAGTCTATTGAAAAGTTTTACGACATGTACAGAGAGTTTAAGGTTCTAATATTTATTAAATAGTTTCGGTTGTATATGTAAATAAAAATCGGTTCGCAAAGTAATGATTCTCTATATGTATAGTTAAAGCTGTTGTGCATAGGAATTGGGGCGCTTTCAAATGAAGGCTCTAAAGATAAGTCTTGTCGCCAGGTGGCGCTGTCTTGCGATTTAAAGTTTTTTTTGTTAATAGCTACTTATATTCACATCTGCTTAGTTTAAGCTGTAAATTAATTAACTTCAATATTGTTGTTGCTAGAAACTGAAGTAGCCTAGTCTAGTCCGCTGCATAACAGCGCCAACTGGTTTTATTTTCGTACTATGAAATAGTTTCGATTATAAATTCTTGTTGTTGAAAACATTTTAAAATTTTTAATAATTCTTGTACGGGTAATTGTGCCTACTAGAATCGTTGAAATGAATGCTGATTTGAGAGCGCCCTAAGTGCGGCCGCGCAGGGCTGCCGCTAGATTTCGATTTTCAAATCGTAGCCGTTGTGTAGACCAGTGCGAAATTATACGTTCGATGCACATCATGGAAGATTCCATCTAACGTTTAGATCTATCGTTTTACTATTTGTGTAATTATTTTATAATTTCTTTTAAGTCTGAACTAGTGTTTGCATTGTTATTAAGTATATTATTACCACCTGTTTGATAATTTCCTTTCAAATTTCGTATAGTTCTAGATGCAAGCATAATAGTAATCTCACACTCGCCTACAGAATGTTGCTGGTATGTGTAAAGAATGTGATTTTAATAGGGTTTTATCATTCTGCTAAGACATTGATTGAATCATTGAATATATTCAGCATGAGCGATATGTTTCAAAAATTTAAAAACGTTATTTTTTCCCAAAATTTGTAAATAGTATGTCGAGGAGGACATCGTCAAAGAACCACAATCCTGTAATAGATTTTGTTTAACAACACGTTACAATTTAAATTATGTACCTATATTACCTACTAATTTTAATCAATAAAGCACTTATTTTATGAAGCTGTTCGATTTTGTTTCATTATTCCCTAGTTAATCCGTCAGTATAGGTCGGTATCCAATCCATCCTCCATTTTACTGGTTCTACTGGGAGTTAAACTAAATAGTCGTTTACCAGAAAACAAATTGTATTTTCTTTCTAAACGGCCAAGATAAACCGAGAATCTCATCAGTATAAAAAAATATCCAACCCTTTATCTTAAAGGTCCGAAATGTACTAAGTAATTATTTTTTTTATTCGCGGGGATTTCCCTAAATGTAAAAAAATGTTA